ACGATGAGGAATTGTAGGACGAGAAAAAATGCAAAAAACTACGAGACACGAGCAAAATGTATAATGTATACAAATAATACAACTATTTTATCCAATTGGACGACTGAACTGAGCGCGCTTCTCGCCACTATCTTTAACCTCAGTTTAGTAGTGGGTGCTGACAAATATAGGCCGATCGCGAGGTTTTTGAAAATGTAATATTTCATATTTTCGCTTAAAGGGTACAATCAGCAATTTCCAGTCAGGGTTGTTTTTTTCAGGCGAATTTCAATCATGGTTTCGCTGCTACCTATCAACTAGATTACAGACAGAGGTCATTGGCAGCCTTTAGTCATCATGGAGTCTTAATATCTCCAGTGTACCTCGAGGATTATTATTATGTCCCGTTTAATTTATCACGTTTATCAAAGATATGTCAGACTGTATTTTAACATATAATACATTTATTTATGCCGACGATTCACATGCTTAACAAAGTGTCGTGCAATGACTAATAATTTATAAGCACGTATGAATCGTCGCGCCCTCTGGTGTCAAGATTGGAATTTCAAATTCAATTTCTCATAGCATTCTCTAACAAAAAGCAACTCGTGGTACATAAGTGTTACTTGATTAGTGACATGGATACTCTGGTGAATTGCAACAGAGATGTAGAATACTGCTCAAATACCGAAGATATAACGGATACTGAGCATATTTCTTGAATATTTATGCTTCAAATCTAACGCATTTTACATTTATTCTTTCTTTTAAGCTCTGGGATATCACGATTATCTATTAATATAAGCTATGTATGAAATTGAATATAAAGCCTTCTTGCACCTTATTTTAGTTAACGTTCTGATACATTTGGAACATTGTTCTATTCAATTACAGTAAAATAGTGATGGTAATGAACCATAACTGCCTCAGCACAAAGAATGTTGTGTAATGCAAGGGAATGTAAAGGGAAATGTATTGTAGTGTTATCTCTGTGTAATTTACAATATATCTGCATTAACCTTCATTGTGAATGATAATATGGGAGTTGATTTAAATGATTGGTTGAAGCAAGGCTGAGCAAATTTTGCGAAATAGTAGTTATTTAGAATTACCAGACACGCAATCGAGACATTGTGGGATATCGAAATTTAAATGATAAACAGCAAGTGATATTTCCAGAGTGGCCTATTAACCTATGAAACATACTAGTAGCAGTGAACATTTTCATGGGTCACGTTACACTTATATCGAACCCCAGTGATCTTGGAATTTGTTCATAATTCGCTACAATCCGTTGTTGTAATTATCCAAATTATTTCAAATGGCGTTAACGTAGTCAGTAAAAGGTCAGGAAGGTCATCTTTTGTCATGCTAATTTTTGTTTTACACTGTTCTATTCTCTGTGGACACGTTTTGTTTTTAAGCAGAATAAAAGAAGTTTGTATTTAATTTGAACTGTGTTGCGTGTGTATTTTGTGTGTGCATTCAGTGTACAACTACATACTGTTTTTATAAATATTCATGTTCAAGCGCCATAATCATGATTGTATAGTAGATGCAAGTAAACTCTTTTTAAACTCCCTAATTTTAATTTTGTCAATTTTCTCTATTTAAAAAAATGGTTGTAATTCAACTGTTGACTATAACCTTAGTGAACACCCAACCTTCCTGTGAAAAAAATTTCCATTTTAACTGAACTGTAATGACGTGAAACACCCTGAAAGCTAAATAAATTAAACGATTCGGTCAATTACTAATTCGACGGATAAGTGGTTCAAAAAAGAACATGAAACAGCGCCATCACACAAGTGGATTAATTTGAGTGTTATATCGACATAGGCTTGCTTAGAACTCAGTTTCGTACTCGTATATTGTTTCCGTGTTTACGTCTACCTGGATCATATCGTACCTGAAGTATTTTAACACGGGATAATACATCTTTTACGTATTTAATTAGCTAATGCAATACTTCCGCCACACCCGGTTCGATGCTCGTCAATCCACCATCCCCATCGAAACTATAAACTTTAAAAATTATTTCATAACGTCTTCCCACATTTCCAACGGATGTCAATAACACAACATATCTAGGGGACAGAATTGTTTTCCTGATTTTCTAAACTGCTTGTGTAAATATACATATTGTAAGATTACCAATATTTTTTTTCAATCAAAACAGAAATATGAAATTTTGATACTGAGACAAAATTATTAATTCCATAAAGTTTACATTATACTTAACAATGATATGCAATATTATATAATTAAATACCGTGTACATTGTAATGATCAAACATGAAAATAAGTGACCTCGAACTTTGATCTCAGAAATCCTTAATATTGAAGTTACTTTTATTCTACGGTTTATGGATTACGATCACCATCTTTGCTTTGCCAATCATGATGTCATTATAGGTGTTTATTCAACAAATAAATATGCAGTCATCGCTAAAACTTTCCTTCCCAACTTCAAAGGATTGTTTTAAGTGTTCACATAAACGTTTCACAGAATGTGTTTTCAGATTATTATGTATATATTGTATGACATCCCAGTAATATGAAGCACAGTTTGCCAACTATTTACCGCTGTAAAATTTGCAATCATGTCATCCTTTTGACCGATTGCTTCCCTAATCATCTAGCGTAATGCCCACGAACTACAAACATTTGGAAAATAAAAGGTTTGTGTAATGTGTCGTACTGAAAACAATACATTTGAATCAAAATTAGTAAGTGTTGTCTTAAAATGAAATCTTAATTAAAATGATGTGATTTTATGAAAAACGTCCTTTTAAATATGTTGATTATATCATCATAAGAAATGTGTTATGGAACGTCACACATACACGCTACACAGGAAAGCAATGGACTGTCACGTTACAATACTTTTCATTAATGCTATATAATCGAATGTCATTATTAATGACTTAGTTGTATAAAAGTAATGCAATTAACTACACAATGTTTTAGAAGTTTGAAGATTATTATAGAAAACATACCATACTAATACAATTATTATATATACATTCACGCGTATTGGTAAATCATAAAGTGCAATCAGCATAATTAAGTTGAAACCATTAACATTTAACACGTTTATACCATATTTATTTTATTTAAAATCTGTTTTGTTCTTTACCCGTGTGGTTAAACATAATAATCGGTATATTAAATTAAATATGAATATATGATAATATGTTATATATACCATTTTTTTAATAAATGTACAATGATTATGACTGCATAATGGTAGTTATAATTATATTTTCAAGTCTGTGCATCTAAATTTTTACACAAGCTCCAGTTAATCTCGGAGACACAGTTAAACATTGCTGAAACACAAACTAAGAATATATATCGAATTTTTGATTTCCTCAAAATCCTGTTTAATAAATCAGACCGTTTTCATTTTTTTTTTCATTTTTGGTTGTGTTTTGGAGGATTGTTACACAATCAATATTTTTTATTATATATATTAACCATACAGCGATCATAAACAAACATAACGATCATAAAAAAATATTAGGAAAACCAGTTAAGTCGGCTTAACTTACTTGAGCAGTTGCAGAATCTAGAGCTACGACTGTTGCATAACACCATTCATATAATATGAATCATAGATAAATGCTAGTATGTAAGTATATAAACCCACATTTGATTATCGTCCAAAGACGCGATGGGAATTTTGGAAATATTGTTTTGATACTGATGTAAAACAATGAATAACAACATTGACTTTGATAAAAAAAACAAGTAATTGTCTATTTGTGAGAGTTGAATTCACTATATTATTTGACAGAATGAAATATCAATCTATATTAGTTCTCAGTAGTATATATTTATACCAGCTGACACTCACCAGTGAAAGCAACAGCGTTACGAACAGCTGCAGCATTCACAATACTAATTCAATTCATTTTCTTTATATACCAATTTAGCTTTTCTGGTATAATCTTATTTTTATACACGTCTGTTTCTAATACAGACCCAGCAACACATATCATTATTTTCTAAATGAGGTGTCGTTTTTTTGCGAATCTGGCGCTGTAGGTAATGCGTTATTCAAATCAAAACTATTTATTATAATTAAATAACATTTGCGCCACCATGAAAACAACTGGTATAATTATCTGTATATCATTATAATATATTATTTACTGGCTCTCTGTAATAAATGATTTGTTTACACTGTGCGTGGTGTTGGTTACAGAGGATGAAGTGGTTTATCAGTTTGTCAGAGATGGGGGAATGGATATAACAATCAAAACATTGTTGTTGTATCCATAAACTAGAAATGTAGAAATGGTTGTAATCGTTACAAATATAACGTAATGGGTCACAAGATAGATGCAAACTTTACATATCATAAAAGTGACATTTTCACATTGTTAAAATTGCAGATCGACATCATATTTTGACGATTATTCAACAAAGTATCGGCATGACGAGGCAACAAATGATACTCCTTGCTGTCCAATTTGTTCATTTTCTAGTCACATTAATCAGAATTTCTACAAAAGCCAATTACTGTAAAACATGTCTTTTTCGCGAATTTAGCGAGAGAACTGATTCGCTAATTCAAGATGTCGCTAATGACTTTATTATAAATTCAAAATGGCCAAGGCTTGGGGATTTGTATACAGTAATCTGGAATATAAAACTATGGGCGCTTCCTAACTACACTTGACAGTTTTTCTTTGTTTTTATTGAGGTGATAACAGCACATTTGTTATGGCACGCGACATATAAGTATTGGAGGATGAGTATTGTGAAAAAGGGAAATCAACAATGACAAGAGAGTTTCGCTAAATCAACATTACGCTATTACGTCATTTTACCACAATTCGCTAAAATTGCATGTCGCTTTTTCAACATGTTTTACAATATTAACTAAAAGGTGAGATACTTTAATTATATATTCATATATTTATAAATATATAATGTATTGTTCATCAATAATCCTCAATTCAGTATTATATTCAACCGAACTTAAGACTACAGAATCCGGTACTTCTGCTTCATACTGATTCAACTTGTGTTGGGCAAATATAAGATAGCAATAGATTTACTCTTTCATCGATTACTAACCGATTTGAGTGAAGTTCAATCCGACTTAAGTGAGATGATGTCATTTGCGAGACACCAAGGAAGTAGACACCCATGCCACCAAAAACACGACGTATCATACGATCCATGTCAAAGCCAACCCACGGACCGCTGAAATATGTTTGCATATCATCAAAATCAATTCCCGGATGTGAAGTTTGTAAGAACACCTTGACTGTCGGACAACGCGATAAAAGTCTCTCCACTGAAAACCTGGTGGCATAAAGTCTGTCCAAGTATGAAGGAATGGACCAAGTGAAATAATGGAAAATAATGTTCATTACAACAACTGTTGGACGAGATTCACACATTTCTTTCGTAATTGTATCAAGAAACTCGCTCTCAAGCCTAATATTGAAGAAGGTAGGACCAAGAGGAAAGTATGCTTTAGGCTCTATTGTGTAGTCACCGAGGTTGTATTTTGCTCTGATCGATTGACCTAACTGGAAAATTGTTGAGTCTCCAAACATCTTGATTGAGACATTTGACAAACACTTCTCAATTTGTGCAGAATTCCAGTGTTGACTTTTGCACACGAGAGATACATACGTCACATTGTCTGTCCAGTATCCATCCGAAATAGGAACTGGTAAGTCAGGACCACAGAGTGGCAGCGGTGGAAGGATGGATGAGGAATCTGAAATAAAACAGACGTGCATATATGTAGCATTGCAACTTGTTGATTATGCCAAAGGTAACGCATTTGCATAGGAGTCAAATATATTTCGATCTTGATTCAATCAGAATATTATGAATATGTCATATAACTTTGACCATTGATAGTATATCGTAACTGAGAAAATGAAATTACACAGTTGGATATGTTAGGTTAGATCTCCAATGTAGACAAATCGTGTTTACGTACCTTTGATCTTGATCTTCATGGGCGTGGAGGCAAGTATACTCTTTTGACGACTAATAAAAAACAACATAAAAATTGTGAGGAACCATAACTTATTTAAATTTGATGTTTGTATTCCCACTAATCAGAACATAGCTTGCTTATTTGTAAAATCATCATATTTGTCTCCTTAGTCTATCGGCGAATTTAATGACGAACAGACCCGCCATATGCCAAAGCAGACAATGTACTTTTAAATAATACCGGGAAATTGTGTTCAGTGCTCCAATTACTAGATTAAGTCATGAAGTCAGTTTGTAGTAATGTCGTGTTTGTAGTACTCGTACCAAGACTTACCTTGCAAATATATATGATGCACGTTTGCGTTCTACCTGTACAGATTCATCTTTAACATTAGTCGGTGTGGGGTTAACACTAATCAACTCTTTGCAGGTGAATGATTTTGGTTTGTCACAAACGAACATTGTGCTGGCAAACGAGTTTCGATTTTTATAACTACATTTATCCTCCCATGTTCCATCTCGTATTATCTTACAGTCGACTTCTTCTGTATCGCGACCTGCGCTATAAACACCTGTCCATTCCATGTGTCCCTCACCCGATCGTTCTTTGTTTATAAATTGTAACATTTCTCGTGTGAATCGCATGAAAATTGATATATTGGCTTCTCCTGCCCAGGCAGCGTAGAAATGCACAGAATAAGTGCCATTCCCATAATCGGTTACACGCCCTGACGTACTTTTGACCAGCTTTTCATTGGACATAACAGCTTCAAACATATCACCGCCCTTTTTACGTTGATTGCCGTATTTATCAAATGTCTCTATGACGACGTGGATGTGTCCTCCTTTTGTGACATGCGTGTCGTCGTGGAAATATACCCTGTGGAAAAACGAAAACAAGAATGTTTTATTTTTAGTAGCTGTATGCAGGTGTATAAAAACTAATCTCTGATTGACTAAATGATTTGTTTATATACAAGACATCAGATACAGTTATGCAAATATAACAAAGGGCAGTTGGGGGATGGTGGTGAATAACATTAATTTGTTTCTTTAATTTGGTGTTTTGTCTTACCTACTGTGAGTCGTCGATGACACACCAAAATTGTTCGTTCCAATAGAGAAAGGTTGAATCCTTGTTACATCTTCTCTGTTTAAATTACTGTAAGCCAGTTCAAACTCTTCCGCCATGCTTTTCCATTCCATACCAAAAAGAGTGTATTTGTCATATGGAAAGAGTTTGTCATGATTATTGAACGTGGGTGTATGAAGATCTTTTGGACGCTTTTCAACAATTTCAACGTTTTGTTTTGAAGAGTAGTTCTTTTCTTGCAGCATGAAACGTGTCATCACATCGGTAACCCCGGTAACTATCTGATGAGACTCTCTAGACGTCTAATGTTTAATACAAATGGAGAAGGAGAAATATAAAAAAATGCATAATTATTATTATAAACAATGCTTCTTCTAAATAATGAGTTGTGGAATGTGGTTTTTATTTTCATAACTACATTAATCCTTCATTTCATCTCGAATTATCTTATAATCAAACATCGGAATTTGTGCAAGAAAGTTAATATGCAAATAAGTTGCGTTTAGTTGCTGATTTTGATGTTCAATATATTTCTCCCATCACAAATATTCTCATTTCTGTCTTTACATACCACACTTGTCCATATTCTGTCAACTCCTATGCCGATGACGATTCCAATAATTAATCTGAGTGATATCAATTTGACAGTCATCATTCCTGAAGTATATGAATTGCGATGAATGTACAAAAATCACAATTATTAAATTTTGCAAGACTGACCAAAATATACTTGGCCTGTATTATGGGACAATTATAGAGAATATCACGATTTAAAAGTCAACAATATGTGTGGGGAAATTTACCAGAACTAGTATGAGCGCAAAAAGCGTGAAATATTTATTCACAGATGTACAATTGTGTTTTAATCTATACTCTAATCTACTTAATAGTAATATTGAATAAATAATACTTTATTAATGTCTTCAAAACCGACTACATACATTGAAAATATGAATCTTTTGAAAGGAAAAATAAATGAAAGGAAAATTAGAAATACAGGATCGAATTTCATGACCTTCTTTCTACGATAACGTAACTTTCGGGATCATTGCCATCATTGGTGCCGCCATTTTCAATTTTATCCATGTTACAAATTTACTAGTCTTATTGATTTTGAAGATCATGTGGCCATAAAACAAACACAATATTGAACAAAATAATATTAATCGAACCGTTAAACCAGGGTCTTCCTAAATATATATAAGTTTGGTGGTTTCACGCACGCCCTTCTTTCAATTTGTAGATCGGCATTTCCCTTGCCAATAAACTATCTCGCTACATTAAACAAAAGTGTGTAGCATTACGGACAGAAGTGGAGGGAATTATATCATCGTTGGTCAAAAATCCAATATGAACCACAGTGTTTACATATTTTCTCGTCGACAAACCCACAGGGCATTGACAGCACAGAAATGGGTTTGAGTTAAACCCAAATCAAAATGGTCGTAACATTATAAGTACAAATAAAATAATCATATCTTTCACTGTACAGTAGACATTATTATAATAATTCAGTTGTAAAAAAGGGATCACCATTCATGTCGCTGGAATGACTAGTTCAAAATGGCGTCGTGTTGTACATTGCAATCGTCGAACTCAGTAATGACATGTCCGATTTCAAGCATAATTATACTGAATAAGTCGGATACATAGGACACAATGTCAACGACGTTTATGAGAGGAATACATGCATATTATTAAAAACCAGCCATAAGCTTGCGAAGATATAACCATTGAACAATGAGCGTAGGAGTGGGAATACATACTTTTCAAAACAAAGGCGTGCGAATGCACGATTAAAGTACTATAAACAGTTCAAATATACAAATGTATTTTAAATAATGTGTCGAAAATTACCTGAAATCGTCAATAAATCAGGCAAAGCTCTACATTACCGTTGTATCGTTCACAGTGTACGATATATTGATGCCATGTGTTACACACCACTCATTCCACGTGGATAAACATATGAACAGATGACTGCACTCCTGCTGCTGTGATATATATATACATTAATGTTGAGCTAGTTGTCATGCCTACCTCGCTTTTGTTTTATACTCTCGACGACAAATAATCTTGATGGGTGAATTAAAATAATACTGTTGGTAGAATAGAAAAGTATAGATTCCGAATATATAAGCATACATACACGAGATTCGAACGCATTACCTCGGCAAAGCTCTTTGCCACTGCAGGTAGACCACAGTCTAACACATTCACCCAACGAAAAAGTTAGCTCATAGCGGCGACTTCATAAAGGCGCTCTCTCAGTGACTGGGTGAGCATGCGTAAGCCGAATATATAACGTCACCGAAAACGACATGCATATAAAGCCATTGTGACTTAATCAGTTAACTGGACATGAAGACGTCCAGGCATTCCAAGTGTAGATTTAGATGCCCTCAGATATCTATTGCAAAAAAAAAGGAACTATTGTGAACTTGCCGTACAGTCGTGAGATAAAATATAACTCATGCCTAAACAATGTCAATGGGATGTGTGATGAGATACATGTCGAATTGACTACGTTAATAAGTATTATGTAATATTCCATGGCAAATTATCGCGTTATTGCTGGTAGTAACATAGCAGTTCAATGTATTTTATATTTCCATATATATATACTAGAAGTTATAGTGTTTATACAGACCCAATAGTTGTGTATCAGCGTTGTTATGTCTGAGCCTTTTGTTGATATTCGTCGAGAACAGAACGAAATATGTGATACTTGAACTGAAATACTTTTAATACGCTCTTCTGAAATGCCAGATGCCATTTGCCTAGTAATACTAGGGTAATGAATAACACGTGCTTCACTAGTTTATTGATATCTTTTTGTACTATTTGTACACAACGTTCTGGGAGTGCTTGTTATGGATCTTAACTAGTAGCTAAAGAAACAATTGTACCTGATGAGAGGACTGATGGTCACTGTCTTCCCTGGCATCATGAATATTGCAAATTCGACTACCCGCTGAGCAGTGAAAACTACTACATGCTGTCCTTGTTTCGTGTATGACTTTCATACATGAAATCGTTCAATGTTGATATCAGTAATCCACAACTTGGGTAGTATGTCGAAACATGCCATTTTATTTTTATGTTTTTGTTGACAGTACTTTGATTCCTCGTGTATATTCGAATTGTTATCTAGGTGTAACATTGGAAGAAACTTTATCATGGAATGGTCATGTTGAATTGTTATGTAAATAGTTATGTAAACGTGTTGGTTTACACTCATGATACATTCCCCACCGATTGTCAAATTGTCTTTTACCCTGGTCTGTTACAGTCAACATTAGTCTATTGATAAAATGTATGTTCTTCAGAAGAGCGCGATTCGTTTACTATGTGATTGACCCTTTGACCTTCCATCTGTGCAATGCACGAACATACGAACACAAATGTTTGTGTGCGACCCGTCAATACTCCCCCTTATAAACAACATTAAAATTGTACATAGAAAGTGATAAAATAAAACGCGAGATAAATTTTACATCCAGAATGTTACCCTGGAGACGCATTGGTGGCTTCTTTAAATTCTACTTACATTATCAGTGTTATATCTGCCTCTATAATAAACTCCGACTAGAGCTCTTTCTTTTTAAATGTATTTTTATGGGCGTAAATGTGCCACACACACACATATCTATCTGTATTGCTTTTTTGCATAAATAGATATCGGAAAATAAGCTGAACACTGAATAATTGAGAAGCATTTCAGATTGCAAATTAATACAAATCAAAACATTCCTAATGGAAATGAATAAATGTAAGTTTATTGTTGATTATAGATTGTTAAGAATCATGTTTTGTTTTGTTTTTGGCGAGCACGTTCCGAAAAAGCGCCCGCGTTGAATGGTTAAGCAAATAATATCCAAATAGTTCTAATATAAAATTGCGTCTTACTCATTTGCATATTCGGAGTTACGAACTCTATTTATGTGTTCCAAGTCAATAATTTTGGAAGAATTATATCTGTATCCTCGGGGGCGGACATCCGGGCATTTTCACCGCCTGGCAACCCGCGGCGGTGAAAACAAAGGCCCAAAACTCGCAGAAAACGGTACTTTGGGGTGATTGTTGAGACTCCTCTGAACAGTGCAACAAGATTAGCCCTACGTGTGTAACATATATAAATTTGATTGTTATGGATTACTTCAAAGTTGAGTTTGTATTGTTTTCTCGAATTTTCACCGGCTCGAGCGGCGTTCCACGGCAGCGCGCACAGAGCCCATAGAAATGCATGGTACAGTGGAACGTGGAACGTCTGTGACGTAGCTCCGCCCCCGAGGATAAGTTAATTTAGTTGACAAGTGCGCCCTCCCCCGACAGCCAGGTTCCCCTACTGCAGTCGGTAGATGGCGCTCGGCCTGAGCTTGCCCCTTGGACTCTGCGTTGAAAGGTCAATTTGTTGAATCGTCCAGTTGCCGTCTTTATAATTGATTGCTGGGCGACCTTTGAAATCCGGTTTGCAGGAATGGGAAGTCATTCGAGTGACCCATCCTGATGCATTTTCTGAACAGCGAAAGGTGTCTCGAGCAAAATGTTACCACCGGGAAGCGGGCAGTATGATGTCGGGTGCATGGATGTAATGACCGGCTTGGATGTGACTGAGTGGTAAGTTGTGCTCTACCTGTCGTATAGGTATATTCACGGGGAGCCTAGTAAGGCATGGAAGCGCTGGAGGATTTTCACTGAAACAAAAATATGTATAAAAAGTATTGAAAAAAGAAAAAAAAAGGTTGCAGAATTTATTAAATAATTGGGAGAAACATAAAAAATAATTGAAAATTTCAAATTCTTCCCCCCTCTTCTCGTTGTAGTATGACATCTGTCATAGCACAGAGAGCACTGGGATTATGATAAACTGTACGCCTAGCATGTATGGGGGTATATTGGTTTTTATACACCACCCTCTCCCCCCATATAGGCTGGGCATACAATTTATTATAATTCCCATGATTCCTTTGATCATAGATTCCAATGTTTGGTTTTGTTGTAATATTTTTAATAGTGCCCCCCCCCCCTGTTCAGTCAAAATTCCGTTTTAATACTTTGGTAACTATTTGTTTCATATTATATGTCAATTTTTGTAATGTTCAATTTTTCCTGAGTTTCAATTATGAAGAAAATAATGTAAAAATAATGTCTTTAACAGAGAATTTGTACATCAAATAAGTTACTGTAAAATGCTCTAATGATTTTTCTCTGAAAAGATTTTTTGTATGAAATTAATTTTCATTGATTTTTGATAAGTTGAATGTAAAATATTGGAAAAAAGGGATATTCACTGGATTTATTTTCACTTGAAAATTAATTCCAAGCAAAAATAAAGTATTTTACAGTACTTGGATTTGTGACTGGAAGACATAAGACCAGTTATATTCTTCAGTTGTTGTTTTTACGACCAATTTCATTAATTTTTATTTTCACTATACTTAGTTTTATTATTAAAACTTTCAATTTGAAGCCAGAATTTTATTTATTTCATGATAAATAATTTATTTTAGGAGTTTCTTCCGCTTATTTTATCCATCCTCAATAAAAGGAACATCAGCTGATGAGACGAAAGGAGTACCATGGTTTCCACGGAAACAATACAGGGATGCAATTGTGAAGCAGTTGAAACAGGGGTATCCTGAAGTGAATGAGAAAGACAAACAGGTGTTACGTATGTTTATTTATTCATTTATTATAGTTTATTTATTTATTAGTTTATGTGTTTGTTTTTTTGATAAAAAGTGACAAACAGTGAGCGTCATAAGGTACATTACAGTTACCGCAACAGAAATCACAAAAAAAATCAATAATCAGTTTTTAAAAGTGGTTGCTTTTTGAAAAAATATCGATTTTATCTTTAAATGTGACGAGGTGAGTAGAAATACTGCAAAGTATTCACATAAATAGAATAGTGATTGTATCAACAACATGTAGCAGAAGTCGATGCACTCACGTACTGCCCGAGTACATACTTTGCAATGTTCTCGTGATAACAGAGTTATTATACATCTGTTCTTGCATGTAGTAATAATGTAGCAAATATATCCATATAACAGCCCTAAATGCCAGTGAGATTATGCATCCATGCCTGTGCCCTCGTTTACATTTAATGATTCTATAGTTCAGTCCACCACTAAATTATTGCTTTGACCGATTTTAATGATCAAAAATGCTCAAATGAAACATCAGCTTGACATACATTTTCCAAATAAGGAAGACAATTGTATGCGTCCATAACAATTTCAAACTTGGCTGTGCAATGTTTTAAACAGATAAATTCTATTGTTTTCAATGACAAGTCTATTACTATTTAAACTTTACTTTTACTATTAGTTTGTTTCATAGATTGATCAGTTAGAACTATTTTGATATGGAGTATTTCAACAATATCTTTTTGGCAGTCAATATTCATCATGTATGTAGTCAATAATAAAATACTGTGAACAAAATTTTGAAAGTGCCGGTGTATCTATGTGGAACAAGTATTCCCGAATATAATATTCAAAAATGAATCAACCAATTTCCTGGTTTTCACTCTAGTATCCAATATGGATTCCGCTACTGTTCCTGTACATTGGAATGGTCCGCTGTTGTCCAATGGGAATCTCTTCCCAAGCGTTATATATTCTCATGGACTTAGTTCAAGTCGGTTTCAGTACAACACCCTATGTATGGACCTCGCTTCGCATGGATACATTGTTGCAATTGTAGAACACAGGTGAGTGTCACAGACTGAAATGTTCCGCAATGCATGTATAGATGTATATCTACTTGCCAATTGTTGATCCTTGAATTTAAACGTTGTAATGAGAGTTCACAATCAGATGTTGAGGGTGTGATCTCCCAAAACATGTATGTGTAATTTCACAATTTGTCATATTGGAAAATGAAAAAAATCTACTAAAATCTTGGTGGGCCACTACATTTTTAGGAATGACTAGTAACAATTAGTTTGGGCTTTTATTATTTTCTATTACTAGTAAGTGTCTATTGCTGTGTCAGTGAATTATTTTCAATGTATGGTACAGCTTCATGGAGAAAATTTTTAAAATCAAATTTTCTTTTCAAATACTAATATTTGAATGTGTATATCACCAGCTGAGGTATTTATTTACTCTGATTTGTGATTTAATTTAATATGGCCAACTGGCGGCCATATTTATTTTATTGTGTCCATGTAAATCAACCAACATGTAGGCACAAAAACAAAACAAAAACTGTATGGTTTAAATAATATACACTACAACATCTGATAGAATAGATCTGATTTTATTTCTTTTATCATTTTGTTGTGTTAGCTCACTTAACATAATCCTGGTTTAATAATGTTTACAGTTTTATTCATGTATCCATGAAATCTTGTGTCATTTTGCAATATTTTTATTAAGTTGGGCCAAACAAATAAAGCTGAGGATAGTAAGCTGAGTTGCAGGTGAATGTTAATTATTTTATTTTAATTCAAGTATATTCATTTACCAGAGATAATTCTGCATGTACAACCTACTGCTTGAGGCCATCTGATGAAGATAAGATGACTCTTAAAGAAGAGTTTGTCACATTTATATTGTCATTGCCAAGCAGAGAAGAGTATGCACTCAGAAATAGTCAGGTCTGTATATATATATATAGTCTATAACTGATGAACTTATCAAAACCTGCAAGACCTTGACACTGAACATCTAGCATTAGTTATATAACTGTATACAAAATTAACATTTAGTTGGGATGGTCTTCCTTGTTTTTAATCAGTCAATCACCTAATGACCTGTCTGGCTTATATATTACCATAAAATCTGTATTAGAAACCCGCATTCCTAAATAGAAGCGCAACCAATTTTTTTGAACAATTGCGAACCAAAAAAAATCACAATTTCTCATTTGTGTAGATTTTCTAATAGAAACCACTTCCCCTCTGTTGTATTGTACCATTTTAATATAAACCGCGGCTTCTAATACAGATTTTACAGTATTGGCCAATCAACGTTGTAGTCCATAGCTGATCGACCAATTAAGTGGTTTGGTCCAGATATAATTGACCAATCAACCGTTTGGTCCATATATGATGTTTGGCTATCAATTCAAGTTTTCACCAAGACCAGAAAAAACATTTTACTTAAATTTACAAGAAGTTTTACCAAATTTAAGAAGACTGGTTCAATGAGTGCATTTTATTCAGGCAGCCTGAACTTTAGATTCTCTTTACTTTTTAGTGATACATTATGAACAGTGAACAATACTCTTGGGAGACAAACATCTCTGTTCATTAGGACATTTTGGGCTTCAAGAGAGGAATTCAGGGAGAGTCTAATAGTTTGTTCAAATAATGTTATTTTCTGTTTGTTTATGTTAATATTATCATTTATCTTTTCTGTTTCAAAGGTAAATGAACATTATTATTATTATACATCTGTCACAATAACACCATAAGTTACAGCATGCTGTAATTTTGCGGTATTGTACTTGGTATTTTCATCCCACTATATTTGGAAATGCAAATTCCAAATATGGAACAATTACATGCGTAAGCATCTTCTGGTAATAAAAAACAAAAATGGCTGCCCCCAGGGTTTGACCGGACTCCACACAAACAAGTTAGCCAAATACATTGTATGTTCTAAATTTGTTGTACCTCGGCATTCCCATGATGTATTTCTGGGAGTAAAATATGTATAATAATAAGGTTATTATGAGGATACTGCAAAGTATGCTTTCAGACAGTATGCGTCGGTTGATAGTCCCGCGTACTCTAGCTCCTCGTACATACTTTGCAGTATCCCCGTAATGTTATTATTATATAAGGATGGTAATTGGTGACAAGTTATACCAGTATGTACATTATTAAACTTTGTTTTGTTTCTCAGGTAAAACAGAGAGCTAAGGAGTGCACCAGAACACTGGATCTATTACACAAAATGAATAAAGGACAGTTGATCCAAAACCAAATGGACATTCATTGCAACTTCTCTCAATTTAAGGTGAACATATTTTTATGTATAAATCCAATGTGTAACCAAAATAATTACTGTTGGGAGCTGTATTTCCTAATCAGTGCAATACTGAGAAAGCACTACTTCTGTAGTACCATATGTCACAGGAGTCAAAAATTAGCAGTTACAGCACATTGACAATAATTTTTTTTTTCCAAGGGCTACTGTTTTTCAAATGTGGTAGGCCAAATAGACGACTGGAAATTTAGTAAAAAATGAGTCATTATAGTATGTGTTCAAAGCTCTAGTATCATACACAATTTGAGCATTTTTTTGTGTTCATACTTTCTTGCATGGCTTTAAGTACCTACTTAACTTGATGAACTAACCAATATTATCATGTACCAACTTTCTAAACAAATTTGTTAAGTTAGAAGCCTTATACTAATAAATGCAAATACATTGACTCGCTTCGCATCACTCGTGAAAATAACTTCTGTCATAGTATACACTCATGATAACCTCTGAATAGTGAAAAATATAAAAAAAAATTAAATTGCGTTGTATCTATTGCAACAAATGCATGATGAGGAATTACGTAACTTTGTTGTCACCAGTATCATAGCGTTACATGATTGGTGTAAATCCTACCAGTAAACCCCATAAAGGAATTGACTTGTACAATTCACTTTCCCCCCCCGAGTTCCATGCACCTCATTTGGACAGCGTTGATTACAAGTGTGATGAGAGCACATCTTAAAACTCTGACAAACTACATTTTTTTGTCTTTTGACTTTTTATATTTTTATCCGACCCTCGCCCGTTGCTATGTAGGTTACGTATGCGGGAATAGAATTACATCACTGATGGTAATTCGGAATCAGAATTATAGTAAATTTTCATTTCAAAAAATGTGCTTGAACTATACTTTAGTATGTGCACCTTAGGTGAAATATACAGCACAAAAGTAGTACTGGTAGTCTCTTTGTATCATTTGGAAGTCCAAAACTAAAAACAGCATGTAGATAAGCATAATGTCAAACAATTTCTTAAATCACACTTTAGAATACTGTGACTTATGTAGACAAACTTTAATACAAGCACTTGTTGATCGCATTTGACTGATTAATGTATGTTTTGTAATTTCAGGGAAGACTAGACACAGACAATGTCTCTGTCATTGGTCACTCATTCGGAGGCACTACAGCAATACAGTCTCTCTATCAAGACAAAAGATTCAGGTCAAACAGATTTAGTATTTTAATGTAGACGCCTACTCATAATTGTTGGGCAAATTAGTATGAATATGACGTGATAAATTTCAAATCAAGTGAATTTTACCCGAAATTCCAGGTCACAAGAGACTTCTACTTTATGAAGCAGCCAAGTTACGTACAGCAATCAATCGTTACATCGAAGACAGTGCTGGTAATTTGAAATTTCAAGCAAGGTTCATTACTGTAAAATCACCTGCACTGCTCGATCAGTTTACCAATTGAATCTCATCATCTTGAATATTACTTACTCCATCCCATTCTTAATGCACTGGCTATTGTGTGACAGCCAACTCAATAATTCAACCAATCAAATAGATACGGTAGGTTCATTTTCCAAACAAAGTTTCCACCAATCAAACTGAATGATAGTGTAGTAATATCAGTCACATGTAACAGAAGTTATGGGAAAGATATGAATATGTATGAATTGAGGAAGACAAACGTGAAATATTTAAATTAATCAAATATTTAATTGACCAATTACAGGTGTTGTATTGCGTTGGATTCTTGGATGTTTCCATTGGATATCAGGACCATATCACATGACATTCATCAACCAATCCTATTCATTAATGACGAAAGATTTCAATGGACAGGAAATATTGTTCGAATGAACAGAATTCTATCGGATAAAACTGGTGGAGAAAGAAGACTGATTACCATCATGTAAGAAAATAATTCTCACACATTGTGTTATTGAATATTTTAATTAGTTCTCGTCAGATTATAATCTGATTATTATACATCTGTCATCGTTCAGCGTGCCGTAATTTTGCGGTATTGCACTAGGTATTTTCATCCTACCATATTAGGAAATGTGATTTCCAAATATGAAGTGATTACGCATTCTCTAATTATAAAAATCAAACATGGCTGCCCCTAGGGTTTGATCGGACTCCGCACAATGAAGTTCGCTAAATCAGTTCTAAACGTTTTGGATTTTGGCATTCCCATGATGTATTCCTGGGAGGAAAAGATGTATAATAATAAGGTTACAATAACTTCATATTATTGGTAACAAATTTAGAGAGCACGTAATTGTATTAAACCTTTCCCCACCAGTTCCATATTTTGATCACAAAATAGTCCTGTTTATAGTCTGCACTTTCCTTCAAATGATTGGGACAAAAGTAGCCAAATTTGTAGAATAAAAACTTAAACTTGACCCTAATTTTGTCTGTTGCCTTCAAAATTACGGTCATTTCTAGAAATGTTGAAAAAGTGCAAAAAACTTTAGGCGAGAAAGTATGGTGTTGAAAAGAGTAAACACAATTTTGTATTAATGGCTTATATTACTTTTTAAAGGCACTTTTGTTGATCAACATGATATTATAATGTTCAGTGAAGAATTTTTAAATCAGTAATGGATTTGGAAAGCGTCAAATTGTTCTAAGATATAATACTGTAAAATACTTTATTTTAGCTAGAATTAATTTTCGCTTTAAAAGGGCTTTTTTAGTGTTTTGTTTGGAATTTATTTTCACTGACTTTTGGCGAGTTAAATGTAAAATATAGGGAAAAAGGTATTGGTGAGACCGACTGGACAAGAACGCATAAAATTACACCCGGTTTTAATGTATGAGAGATCTTTTATTTTTATTGATCAACCATTCAATTCTGTAAATAACAATAAACAAAAAACTATTTTCAGTAAAAAATACATCACAACAAACTCATTCCCTTACTCAGTATTATTTGTATTAACTCAATTCACATGTCTAAATTTGTCTCAACAAAATGACTAATGACATTAAAATTACTAATAAATTTTAACTCACTGTGGCCGGATATAATTACAGGTTAGACGTCTCTGGTTAGCATTTGAGTAGTATCACAGGTTAGCAGCAGAATACAACCGAACTCGGCCAGATTTCAACTCGGCCAATAAAAAAAAGCACAACTCGGCCAGTTGTGAATGTCGAGGTGTAAACTGGTCATTGGTCAACAATTGTCACCTTCTTTCACGTCTGTTGTCGTGGCGGCATTTTATTTCCAGATGTTATATGCTACACAACACACCCAGTGACGCATCCGTTTCACTGACTGTTTTTGACTAACTCCCGTGACTGCTTTGTTGTCGATTTCAACAACGCAAGTTTACGTACACACACAAACGCTACTGGTTCTCTGGCATGTTCAAGTTGTTGATTTCAACATTGGCTGAACATTGTCGATTTCAGTGACGCAAATTTTCTTTTCAAAGAAAAAACACAGACATTACA